GGTTTCCAGGGAGCCCCCCCCCAGGGAATGAGGGACTTGGTTAATGTGTAGAGGAAAAGCTTTACAGGTAATGGACTCTGCACAGTGCTTGCACAGCAACGAAAAATACTAAACACTGCCCAGCTGGACCCTCAAGAATCATTAATGCATTTTTCCATTATGTATATTACACTACAATTACAAATTTTTAATGCAAAAGGCAGAGATAGGAATGTAAATTTTTGTGTGAAATCTCTAAGTTTGCAAGTGGTGACAGTTGTCCAGAGTCCATACTTAACTGTCCAGTGGTGTGATTTCACCTCTTTTGTAGGAAAAGCAGAGGTTGAAATGTACCTGGGTGACAACTCACCACTATGTGACTCAGGTCGGTTTTGATTGGCTCAATTCCAATAAGGGTTTTGTTTTGTTTTTTGAGATCAGGTCTCATTATATAGTCCTGGCTGGCCTCAAACTCACAGAGATCTGCCTATCTTTGCCTTCTGAGTGTTGGGATTAAAGGCCTAGGCTACTACCATGCCCCACAGATCAATATGCTTTGAGGGAGTCTGCTGGAGGGTTTTAAGAAAGGGCTTTTAAGCTCGTGCTTGGACCCTTTCTACCTTGCAAGAAGAGAGGTTCTGGTACAGCTATGGGAAAGACTAAAAAGATAGTATGAGGTCAACTTCATTAGTAATCTTAGGGTCTTATCTGTGTTTATAGTTTAAAAGATCACAGTGATATACATATCAGGTTGAATCAAAGATGTTTGGGGCCCAGTTGATCCAAAGGCAGGTGGCTTACTACCCTAGGCACACCCCTAATCACTTGTTAGGGACAATTTCCCTGCATTACCCAGAACAAGTAAACACCCTTCTTCTTCCCACCCCACCCCCAGGCTTCTAGGCTTTAGAGAAGGTCTAAGCAATAGTGTCTTTGCTGAGAGCATCAGACCACTGTGCCTTCCTTACAGGTTGCCCTGGCAACTAATGAACAAGCTCTTCTGGGTCTGCAGCTCTGGCTGCTTGTCTCTAAAGATGCTATCAGTGACTCCTGCTGAATTGACCTCTTTCTGCTGTAATACTTTCTATCCTCTGATAGGGATAGAATCACACCAGCGATTAACATTAGCCCTTTCTCTTTGTTTACTTGAGCTACTTAAACAGTTGTATGTAAAGAGGATTACTTGCAGACAGCACATAGTTAAGTCTTGCTTTTTTTTTTTTTTTTCCAATAAAGTAATCCTTGCCTTTATTTCTTGCTCACAGCAAGGGTTTCAGCAGATACCCAGAAGTTCATGCCTTGGAAACTCAGACCCTAAATTCATGCTGCTATTTTGAAATGAGGCTTTCAGGGGGTTCTTAGGATGAGGTCATGAGGGTGGAGCCCTGTCCTTGTTTACTTTCTATTCCTGTGATAAAGACATGAGCAAAAGCAACCTGGTGAGGAAAGTATTTATTTGGCTTACATATCCCGGGTCACTGTTGAGGGAAGCCAGACAGGAAAACTCCGGACAGGAACTGAAGCAAACTCCATGGAGGAGTGCTGCTTACGAGTTTTTCCCTCACAGCTTGCTCAGATTGCTTCCTTATACAATCCAGGTGACACAGCCACAGTGAACAAGGCCCTCCCACATCAGCCACTAATCAATAAGGTGCCCCCACAGACTTGCCCACAGAACAATCACATGGAGACCTTTTCTCCACTCAGGTCCCCTCTTTCCCAATGACTCCAGCTTGTGTCAAGTTGACGAATATTAACCAGCACAAGCTCCCATAACAGCATCAGTGGCTTTAGAAGAGGAGGCGATACCTGAGTTGGCACACTTGCCTGTCTGGCTCCGTGATGTTACGTCCGTGATGTTCTGTCTCATGGTGATGCAGCAAGAAGGCTGCCACTCCTCTCTTGACTCCCCTGTCTCTGTTCTTTATAAACCATCTCGTCTGGGGGTCTAGCAGTAGGAATAGGAGAGAGACCCAAACACTTGTCTCAGCTCCTACTAATTGTTTATCTAGTGTAACATTTTAAAAAGTATATACTTTACATGATGCCAAGAAGTTTGAAAAGCCACAGGGCCTGGCTTGATGTGTGTACTGGGAGAAGACAGAAGACAGGGGGGACTATGTTGGTAGCTTAGCTGGAATGAGGGACATGAAACTCAGTAAACGTCTCTGAATAATACCCTCTCTAACAAAAGCAATGGGCAAAATGGGTGCCAGATTGGTTTATGGTTAGCAAGACTTATTTTTCTTGATCTCAGGATTACTATGAACCAGTCTGTTCCTGAAATTATGCAAAGAATAAGACAATTCCAGAGTGTCTGACCTGGTAGGAACTTGAAGCAATCAGTTCCATCTCTCCTAATACAGTGGAGAAAAAGGAAGGCAGGAAAGTAAACCAGTATGCTCCAGATCACACCCCATCTCATCCATAGCTTGGACCAGGTCCCTTTATAGTTCCCAAAAGCCTACACTGTTCACTTTTGTGTTGCAGCCGAGTCACCTCCGTTAGCTTGATGTGGCGGTGCATGCTTTTAACCCCAGCTCTTGGCGGGTAGAGACAGGTGGGTATCTGTTAGTTCCAGGCCAGCCTGGTCTACAGTGAATTCAGGCCTGTATCACAAGACACAATTTTTACTCTCTAGTCTATGTTTTGATTTGTGGAACTCCTGAGAGATCTAGAAAACTAGATAAGGGCAAATGGAAGTCATAGAGAGTAATACAAATGGTCCACATGTTGGCACTCATAGAGAGGATAACTTTATGGATGACAATGAGGTTCTTCCCCAGTGGCCTAATGGTTAAAGCACTAGCTTCCTAAGCCAGGGGTTGTGGATTTAAGTCTCACCTAGGGTAATGAGAGGTCACTACTTTTGGTTCCAGGTAATGTTTTGGGGGCTGAGAAGATTGCTTACTGGCTGAGAACACTAAGTGCTCTTCCAGATGACCTGAGTTTGATTCTCAGCACCCACGTGACACCTCACAATCATCTGTAACTCTAGTTCCAGGGGATCTGATGCTGTCTTCTGGGCACGAGGCACGCGTGCAGTGCGCAGATATACAGGAAGCAAAACACCAATACGCACGAAGTAAAATAATGAAGAAACTTTTTTAATTGTTTGATGTTATTAAGATTTAAAAAAAACTTCCCATTACATTATTCCACAAATCATCATGAGCCATAAGAAAATAAATGAATAAATGAAAATCTGTATCTTTAGGGACATAAATTGAAAAAGAAAACGAGGGCTGGTGAGTTTGATTCTTGAAGCCTTTGTAGTGGAAGGAGAGAACCATCTCCCATAAGTTGTCCTCTGAACTACACAAATGCTTGGCACATGTGTGACCCCTGGCCCCAAAATAATAAAATAATTGAAAGAAAATGAGACAAGATTTCCCAGGGAGTTGCTTGTTGAGCAGGGCTTTCTATCAGCTGCATTTCTGGTGTTCTCAAGTATTGCTTCTACAGTTAATTTTGAACCTCTGACAACTTGGTAGGTGAGTGGCTATCGAACAGTGGCTCTCAAACTTCGGTGTGCTTGAGAACCACCCCATTCTGTGAATATAAAAGTGTAGGTCCCTGTCACCCCCCCCCCAAGCAGGGGTGGGTGGTGGTGGGTGGTGGAGGAGGAGGTTGAGATGGACTACCTGGGAAACAAAAGTCATATATAATCTTAGCACTCAGAGGCTAAGGTGGAAGGATGACAAATTCCATAGGAAGTGATAACTTGTTTAGCATTGAGACAGAACAGGCCTGGAACAAACTGAAACTAGCTCGTAGGTGAGTGGCTGACTACAGAACATTATGGGTTCACATCAGATACCCTCTGAAGACAATACAGATTAATGGTGTCAACCCCGGCAGGTAAGGACTATTGCAGTGTGTGAAAAGATATGAGTAAGGGCTGTAAAGGACCTGACACTTTACCCTACTTGTATGTGAGTCTAGGGCCCCAGCAAGGACCATAATCACTAGCAGAGATAATTAACGCTATCGACATTTCTCACTTGGTCTGTTTCCTGTGTGAAACGCGCTACAGGAGAGAAACCGTTGAGAGAACAGGAAAGAATAAGTCAGCCAGACCTTGGTCTGGGACGACATGTTTCTCCCTCTCACAGCTACTCAAGGATGTTTAGAAACGCCCTCGAAAAGACTGTCAGAAAAAGGCAGTGGGTCTCTCTTCTCAAAACAAGCGGCGGGACACTACTACACACAGGAGTCATCTTTCAACAGAGGCCGGGAATGGCAGCTCATCCCGCGAAAAGATAGTCCATAGCGGAAGGCTACTAAAGAATCACGCTGAAACAGGAACGGCGTTAGGCCGTTCAGCTGCCATTCTTGGCAAGAATCCAGCATGGATTAAAAAAAAAAAAAAAAAAAAAATGTCCCTTTGTAACCCAGACTGGCCTCGAGCTCCTTGTCCTGCTCCAGCCTCCCAAGTGCTGAGATTCCAAGCATGTTCAGCACGACTTTCTCATCCTGGCTTTAATGGAGATCTGCCTAGTGCCAGGAGCGAGCAAGCTTCCATGTTTATCCCTCTCACTCGCTCTTTTCACCGAGATCACCATTTTGCTTACGCAACTCATTTATCCAACTACAAGCCTGGGATCGCAATTTGTCAGGTCTTAGCGCCACCTTGAGACTGCAGTAAGCCCGACCAAAGTCAGTGAACGACCTATGTGAGGGTTTTGAGAAACCATCCCCAGTACTCCAGGACCCAGCCAGGAGGTAAAACACGAACGTCCACTTCCATTTATACTGGGAGTCTGAGACTCTGGGAATTATTTAAGGATGGCTGCCCTCGGCTTCATTTTCCATTCCACAACGAAAGCGTCGCAGTGCGGTTAGGAACAAGATCCTTCCGCGCAGCACCTACGTGGATTGCCCGGGAGCGAGCCCAGACCGCGGGCCACACCTCTTCCGGGAGACCCGCACAGACAGGAAGTGGGTGGGTCCGTTCCCTCAAAACGCATTCGCTATAGGTTGGAGCTGCAGTTGTTGTCTGCTTTGTGGCTCAGGGACAACGCCCGCGGCTAAGCATGAAGGCGGCTTCGGTGGTGACCACAACGGCGGCTGCTGCTGCTGCGGCGGCGGCTGCTGCTGCTGCGATGGAGCCGGGCCCTTCTGTGTCTCCGGGGCCTTCGCGCTCCTTCAAAGAGGAGCTGCTGTGCGCTGTATGCTACGATCCGTTCCATGACGCGGTGACGCTGCGCTGCGGCCACAACTTCTGCCGCCGGTGTGTGAGCAGCTGCTGGGAGGTGCAGACGACGCCCTCATGCCCGGTGTGCAAGGAACGAGCGGCTCCCGGGGAGCTGCGCACCAACCACACGCTCAACAACCTGGTGGAGACCCTGCTGCGGGAGGAGGCCGAGGGCGCGCGCTGGACCGGTCGCCGATCCCCGCGCCCCTGCCGAGCGCACCGCGCCCCTCTTACGCTCTTCTGCCTGGAGGACAAAGAGCTGCTGTGCTGCGCCTGCCAGGCCGACCCCCGACACCAGGAGCACCGCGTGCAGCCCATTAAGGACACTGCTCAGGACTTCCGGGTGAGCATCTCGCCACCCCCATCCAGGGCCTCCCCCTCCCCCGGGCCCAGCCACCTTCTTGTCCTCGGTCCAGGCCCCTCCGGACAATGCCGGAATGCTTCCACCCTCAGACATTCGGGCTTGGTATGACCAGTTTAGAAGTGGAGGCCAGGCCCTAGCTCGCTCGAGTTCTGAGGCCTTGAGATTTCCCCAGGCAAGTGGGCCCCCACGGGTTTCAGAGCCATAGGACAGGCCTGTGGCGCTGGCCCGCTCGCTGCCTTACTCCGATTACTCTTTTAGCGTCCAAATATCTGGAGTTCCAGGTGGCTATAATTAGACCAAGAGCAGTTGACATAGCAAAACTAGCATGGGGAAGGGTGGGTGTCGGTGCTGCGGGAGATCAAGCTCGGGCCTCATACATTCCAGGCAAGTACTTTCCTCCACGCAGCTGCACCCCCAGCCTAGTTTTGGTTTTGAGCCAAGCTCTTAAATTAGCCAGGCTGGCCTTGAACTTGCTCTCTGCTTGCCTCAGCCTTGTGAGTGGCTGAGATTACAGGCCTGTGACTGGGCTTTGTTCTAAAACAGAAAAGAAAAAAACAAATAAGGTCAGCCATTTTCGAAAACATTTGACCTAATCGCTGAGAAATGCATGCTCCATTGCTTGCCAAAGCATTTATACTGACTTAACAACTTTTTAGAGGAGTTTCTGAGATGTCCATATTACTCTAGCAGTGTCTTGTAACTTCTATGTTTTATAGCTACTAATGGACTGAAACCAGTAAATTTGTTTCCCCAGCTACTAGTACATGGGTCAGACCTGCAGTTGGGAGGGCCCAGGTTAGCTGCCAGGAAGCCTAACTAGTGAAGGGGAGGCATTGCAAGAGCCCAGGGTGCTTGATCTTCAGACACCCTTGCCACCCTTGTGAGATATCTTTATTGAGAATCAGCACGGCTGGTTGCAGTTCCTTACTGACCCCTACTGGAGGGGGTCAGACAGACTCCAGCTACATGTGTGTTGCTCCAGGCATTTGTTCAGCTGAGGCCCATACCACTCCTGTTCCCACTTCCACCAGTAGAAATACTCGCTCTCTATTTGGCATAGCTGAAGTGGGCAGTCTGGAGACTTGGGTCCTGATTTGCATTCCCTGGGGCTGGCAGAGTTACAGTTTCCAATGGGTGGTGTCCCCAGAACGAGTGGGGGTGAAGCCTCAACCAAAGCCAGGGGACAGGGAATGAGGGCCTGGAGGCAGCCTTTTGTTCTTGTACAGGGAGGTCTCAGGGACACTGAGGAGACAAGATCAGTGTAAATATTCCCACTCTCGGAGCTTATCGCAAATATCTGAAGGATGTAGAGGCATTAACCAGGTGAAGGGGTCTAGGGGAAATATTTGTAAGCAGATGTTATAGCATGTAGAAGGTCCTAAGAGAGAGCATTAGACGCCAGGTGAAGCCAGGAGGCCCAAGTCTTGTCCTTCGTGTTAGAATGTGATGAGGGGCCAGTGAGTTCAGCCTGAGTCTAAGGGCAGGAGTGGGCTAGTCTGAAAGATCCCGGAGGAGAGTACAAGCTGTGTGCTACACAGCCCTTTCATGTATTCATTTGTGAAGTAAACACCGTGAACCCTGTATATGCCACACTCTGTTCCAGGTGTTATGGCTGCTTAGGTCTGTAAGACAGCTTCTCTGTCCTAGTTAATTTCATGATATAGCATAGGGTTGTTCGAGGGAATTTCAGTTGAGGGATTGTCCAGAAGGGATTGATGATTAGTGTGGGAGAGCCTAGGTGGAGTGACTTGGAAAGCAACATACCTCCATGACTTCCACAATTTCTGCGTTAGTTCTTGATTTCCTGTCCTGACATCTCTGGGTGATGGAGTGTGATCTGAAGTATAAACCGGAATAAACTCTTCCCTGTTACTTTTGGTCGTCATGGTAACAGAAAGCAAACTAGAACACTCTGTTTCTGGAAGTTGACATTTCAGAGGAGTGGGTGAGGCAGTTGGTAGATGAGCATGGTTCTGTGTGGTTGGGTATGGGTGTGGGGTGAGGGAGCAAGTAGCATGGGAAGACCTACCACAAGGTAAGAGTGGAGAGATTGCCAGACTAAGCATGGCCCGTGGCCTTAGGGACCCCCAGAGGTGGGTGTTTAGAAAGATCCCTTTGGCTACCATGTGCTAATCCAGCAGCAATAATCTTTGAGGACTTACTTTACTCTGTGTTAGATCCTCTTAAGTATTAACAGAACTTAATGTCCACAGAAACCCTGAAGCTGTGTGATGGTTAATCCGCCTGTGACAGTAAAGTACAACTCCTTGAGTATCTGAATGTGTTCCAAGAACGAGACCCTGGCCCTATCAGTGAGGGAGTTCTTTCACAGTTTGATGGCCTCATTAGTAGGTGGTAAGTTAGGAGGTGGGGCCCAGTTGGAGGAAGGCAGTTTGTGGAGTGTGTCCTTGGGGGCTGTATCTTGTACCCACTTTTTCTGTTTGTTGGCCACCTCTGCTCTGCCACCCCCAACACCTGTGATGGACCTAACTGACACTCCTGAAACTGAGCAAAATGAAGGGTTCTTCTCTTTTGTTGTTCTGTTAGTTTTGTGGGCCATAGCCCTAGAGAAGTAATAAAGGCCCTGTGTGATGGTGTTTTTTATTACTGCTGCTGAGCAGATCAATTCATAAGACACCGAGGGGGATGTTAACAAGCCTGGACTCTGTCCTATACACAGTGGGACCTGATGGAAGGGCTAACAAGATTTAGAACATGTCATAGCTGATCAACCAGGGCTCAAGAAAGAACCTGAGTGCTCAAGGGACCTTAGAAAGTCCTCAGGTTTGGATAGAGTACACTTCTCTTTTGTGTGTAAATGGGGGGTGGAGGGTAGGTGACAACCTTTCCTAGATCTCTCTCTACCTTTACATTTTAAGACCAGGCCTCTCATGGTTCTGTAACTCCTTGATTCAGCTACATTTATAGGCCCTTGAACTCCAGGGATCTAGTGCTGGCCTTACAAGTGTGAGCCACAGCCCTGTGGAAGTAATGAAGGCCATGTGTGTTAGCTTTTTTATTACTGCTGCCGGGCAGATCCAGTCTTTAAATCCCAGTTCCTCTGCTCTTGCAGAGGGCCTGAATTCTGGTTTCCAGTACCTACATGGTATCTCACAGCAGTCTGTAACTGGTTCCAAGGGATCTGACCTTCTCTCTGATCTATGGGTACCAGGCATACATGCAGGCAAAGCACTCACACATGTAAAATAAAAATCTTTAAAAAGAAAGCATTGGCACTAGACAGGTGTTTAAGTGCCTTCCTTAAATGTGTGTGTGTGTAAAGTGGTTTTATTTTTAAATATTAAACAGGATGCTAGAGAGATGGGTTAGTGGGTACTTGTTGAGTGCTTGTTGAGTAATGCGATTATTCCCAGAATAATCACATTACCTGGACTTTAGCCTGGAGGGGGGGGGTTGTGGATGGATGGGAACACTGGGCATTGAGGAAGAGCCAGATGGTCAGGGAGTTTCATGTGTCTCCTGGTAATAAAATCTCACCAACATGACTGCCTAAACATGGGCCGAACAGGCACATGTGTTCACACCAATGGATGCTCCAAAATGGATAGGGGAAGGACCACTAAGCCTCAACCCTACACAGAGAACTACAGGCAACATAGTCTTCTCCAGGGAAGAGCACACTGTACCCAATGTTCTGCAATGAAAAACACATACACAAGTAACACTACAGACTGAGCAGTTAGTATTTAGGAATATGTGTATATAAATATATTCATGTGATGAAAATTTTTAAAAAGCTATGAAATTGAAAGCAAATGAAGGTTTAGAGAGAGGAAAAGGTAGGAAAATGTTAATTTTACTATCTCAAAAATAAAGAAAAATGACAGATAATAGTGGGGAGTGATTGAGTGAGATACCTACCTAGCATACCTCTCCAGGCTTCAAGTGCATGTGGACACACATGTACCATTTTTTTTTTTTTAAGATTTTTTTTAAAAAAAATTTATGCGTACAGTGTTCTGCCTGCATGTAAGCCTGTACACCAGGAAGGGGCACGGGATCTCATTATAGATGGTTGTGAGCCACCATGTGGTTGCTGGGAATTGAACTCAGGACTTTGGAAGATCAGCCAGTGTTCTTAACCTCTGAGCCATTTCTCCATCCCTAAAATGTTTTAAGTACAAAGAACTTGTTGGGTGTGATTGCTTATGCCTGTGACCCCACCACTTGGCAGAAGGATCACCATGAGTTTAAGAAAGAACAGTTTGGCTGCCTAGTGAGCCAACCTGGCCTCTGGAGTAAGACCTTGTGTCGGATAATGAAAAAAAATAGAAACATACATGAGTTTGCTGATGAAAGTATTTCCTGTGGTCCCAGCAGCATTAAAGGAAAAGGTGGTGTATGGAGGCATGTTCAGGTAAGATCTCACTTGAATATTTTTGCCTCTGGAGAAATGACTGGAACCATTTATTTTGTCAACCCTGTTCAGACTTGCTGTAGATAAGTCCAGTGTGGGGAATTCCTGAAAGAACCAGTGGCCAAGCCATCTTGATGGTATCCCCACAGCTCTGTGGTTCTAGGAGCAGCCATAGGCTGCAGCTGGCTGACTGGAATCCCTGAACCTTGCTTTCCAGCTGCACCATTGTTCTTCGGTGCTGGGTTAGAGGACTGAGACTGAGGCAGGACACGTGCGGTTCAGGGTTGGAGCTGTATCCAGCTTCCACATGTGCCTACAGCTTTTGGAGCACATTGACTTTTCTGGCTTGAGGTTGGACTCCACAGCGGAACTCCATCTGTGAACAGGTATGCCTGGCCTCTAGTGCTAACGTGTCTCTGTATTCCCACATCAGGCCAAGTGTAAGAACATGGAGCATGTGCTTCGAGAGAAAGCCAAGGCCTTTTGGGCCCTGCGGCGTACCTATGAGGCCATCGCCAAGCACAATGAGGTGAGTGAGTGCTGGCGCAGGAGGGAGCATCCAGGCTATTGAGAGGTGAGGAAAGAGGAGCCCCTGGCTTGGCTGCCTCAGAATGGGTCCCCACTGAGGCTTCATTCCGTGTCCTTGGATACCAGTGGGGCCACTCTGACACTCTGACTAAGGACATGGTCAGGCCAGCAGCCATAGGAGTGCATCAAGAAGCCATCTTCATCATCTTCGCTATGAGTTAATGATAACCTCTGTAGGTGTCACATATTACCAGTGCTGACCTGGGCTCATTAGATCATGTGATACCTTCCAGTCCCGTATGTACGTCCCGGCTATCCTGTCCCATCTTCAAAATGCGCTATGCCTGTCCAGCTTCCCACCTACCTCAACTCTCCAAGGACTGGAGCTTGCTTTGGTAAACCATATCAGCTGTGCCATTCTTGTACCTAAACTGCCCAGTGGTGGCCCTTCCCCCTGAATCTGAAGATTGTCTTGCCCTAAAACCAAGAAGCACAGCAGGAACTGTGGAGGATGCTGTTGGCTTGCTTGCTAACAGGCCAGCTTAGAGCTAGCTTTCTTACAGACTTCAGGACCACCTGCTTAGAGCATGTCCTCTCATAGTAGGCTGGGTTTTCCTACATTATTAACAACCTAGAGTCCCCCACAGATGTGCCCATAAGCCCATCTCATCTAGGCAGTTCTTCAGATGAGATGTTTAATCCCAGCACTGAGGAGGCAGAGGCAGGTGGATGTTTGTAAGTTTGAGGATAACCTGCTCTATGTAGTGAGCCTCAAAAACAAAAAGTTATGTTTTACACACTCAGTTATATTCTTTCTGTGAGCCTTTGAAGCTCGATGTACTAAATACTTGCCACAATTATACCAAATAGCTATTCGAGCCCTCCTTTAACTCTGGACCTATAGAGGTTCCCTGATCTTTATCTCTAGGGGTTCCTCATGTCACACCTAGAACCTTGAGTTGCTTTGCTGAAAATAGTCACCAGCCAGGGGCAGCCCAAACCTTGGCTCCTAAACTTGAGGGCTTCTTCCTGCTCTGCTGCAGGTGCAGACGACTTGGCTGGAAGGCCGCATTCGGGATGAGTTTGACAAGCTCCGAGATTTCCTGAGGGTGGAGGAACAGGCCACCTTGGATGCCATGAAGGAAGAGAGCAGAAAGAAGCACCTGCTGGCTGAGGAGAAGATGAAACAGCTGGCAGAACAGACTGAAGCCCTGGCTCGAGAGATTGAGCGTCTGCAGATGGAGATGAAGGAAGATGACATGACCTTCCTCATGGTAAGAGGCTCTGGATCTGAACCGAGGGTAGGAACAGGTCAGGGACCAGCAGCTCAGACTGCCATCCTGTTCAACAGGCTTCCTGTGGTGCTGCGAGAACCTCCTTGTGCCAAAGCAGTGGCTCGGCACCTCTGAAAGGATTCCCGCCACCACCACCACTCTACTAAATAAATCTTGTTTCTTTTTTTGTTGGTTGGTGGTTTCTCTCTCCCCACCCTCAATAAGTGGTCTTTTAAATTGTGTAATAATTTAAACTTTAAAAAATGTATTACATTTTTATTTATTGTAGACAGGTGTCTTAGGGTTTCTATGGCTGTGAAGAGGCACCATGACCACATCAGTTCTTATAAAGGGAAACATTTAATTGGGGCTGGCTTACAGTTCAGGGGATTAGTTCATTGCCAGGATGGGCAGTAGACATGGTACTGGAGAAGGAGTCACATCAGAAATTTCCTGCATTTTCTTACTCTGTGACTGTGCTTTTTTCTTTCTTTCCAGAAACACAAGAGCCGAAAACGCCGGTAAGTTGTCAAGCCTGATGGAGGGTGGGGGTGGGCAGACAGAAAGCCAGGGCTGCCTGTCCAGTGCCTGACGGGCCAGGCAGCTATTGTATCCAGTTGGGTAGGATCCAGAGGGAATGGTAGAGGCCAGCCAAGGGGAGCTCTTTAAAGGCATTCCAGTTCTGGTTGGCATGGAGGCAGAGAGTTGTTTCGGAACATAGAGGGTCGCTGATCTCCACAGGGATTTACAGAAACAAGCATATGACTTGTGTTTCTCAGTTTTCAGCAGGCCTGGATTTTGGCTGGCTGGCTTCTTCTGAGAGCCTTGGCATACATTGTTGTGGGTGGATGCTGGTTGGGCTCTCCAGAGTGGATAAGGAAGTGTTGTGTCCTGTCTGAAGATGGGAATGAGCACTCTGGGCTGTGATGATTTCCCATCTCTTTGCAAGCTCTCAGGTGAAGGCCAGTCAACACTGGCTCTTTTGGATTCAAGTACTGTCAAGATCTCTCAGGAGTGGGCAGATGGCTTAAGTGTGATTTCTATCCATGAGGATGGCAGCTAGATAGGAGAACCTCCCATTGTGTCTCCCAGTTGTTCAGGATTGAGCCTTCCTGCTGAGGGGTTATGGCTGCCTAGTGGGCTCCTTGCTCAATCCAGGTTTGCCTTGGGACAGATGACCACAAAGCTTAGATGTGAGGCATGGGAAGCAGTCTTGTTTTGTTTGTAGTAGACTTGGCCAGGCATGCCTGCCTGGCTCCAGCTCCAGCTGATGCCCAGCCTTTCTTTTCCAGGCTCTTTTGCACTGTGGAGCCAGCTCCTCTCCAGCCTGGCTTGCTTATGGATGCATGCAAGTATCTGGACTCCCTGCAGTACCGTGTCTGGAAGAAGATGCTTGGATCTGTGGAATCTGGTAAGGACATGCAGCAAGGTGCTCCAGGCAAATGGAGACCATCCTGTGCTGCAGAGAACCGGCCAAGCTTTTCAGCTCTTCTCCCTGCAGCCTTTTCCAGGCATGCCCAAGGCCCCTGATCTGCCCTCTTCTGCCACTCTTGAGAGATGCTAACACTCCTTTCTATATTCGTAACTTTAACATTCATGTTGGAAAACTCCAAGGTCATTCTGACTCTTTCCTGCCAGCGAGCCCTGGTTTCATGCCTACAAATGGCAGTGGCCCAGGGGAGTGTTACTTGATCCTCTTAGGTGTCCTGGGAGTGTGTGAACCTTCCTACTTCTAGTCACTTGCCTGTGTTGGTCTTTTAGCCAATTTGTGGTCCTCTGTCATGTCTATTATGACAGTTTTGGAGGCTAAAAAGCTCATTGCCAAGAAATTGGCAAAACCATGCCCCTCAGATCTGTGGTATTTGCTGGCATTGCTTAGGTGTCCTTGGCTTGTGACTGACTTCTGCCTTGGTTGGTCACAACATTTCTTTCCCTAGTGTGTGTATCTCTAATCCATTTCTAAATAAGGTTACATCCTGAGATACTGGGGCTTGGGACCTAACATACCTTGGTGGGGGTGGGAGGAGTCAAGTTTGACCTATACTACCCCAGCAGCCCAGGGCAGTTCCCTGCATGTGTTGGGGCAGTCTGGTAGAAGAAAGGTGTTCAATTTGCTGACTTTTCCCTTCTCCCTCTCTCTGTCTCCAGTGCCCTTCAGCTTGGATCCCAATACAGCTGCTGGTTGGCTCAAAGTGGCTGATGACCTCACAAGTGTCATCAACCATGGCTACCGAGTGCAGGTGGAGAATCCAGAGCGTTTCTCCTCGGCACCCTGCCTGCTGGGTTCTCAGGTTTTCTCGAAGGGCTCCCATTCTTGGGAGGTAGATGTGGGTGGCCTGCCGAGCTGGCGAGTAGGTGTGGTGAGGGTGCAGGCTCATGCACAGGCACAGGCTCAGGCAGATGTAGGTGGTGAAGGCCACTCACATAGCTGCTATCACGACACACGTTCGGGCTTCTGGTACCTATGCCGTACACAGGGTGTGGACGGAGACCACTGCATGACTTCAGACACAGCCACCGCCCCTCTGGTCCAGGCCATGCCACGCCGCCTGCGTGTGGAGCTGGAGTGTGAGGAGGGTGAGCTGTCCTTCTATGACTCTGAGCGCCACTGCCACCTGTATACCTTCCATGCCCACTTTGGGGAAGTAAGGCCCTACTTCTATCTGGGGACCTCTCGGGGTGATGGTCCCCCAGAGCCTCTGCGCATCTGCCATCTGCGAGTCTCCATCAAGGAAGAACTGGACATCTGAGCTGCCAGAGTCTGCTGAACACTGGGCTGTTTTGTTCCAACATCTTCTGGTAGCCCACTATTGACACCATTCAGCATCCTGTATCCTGTCTTTTCTGTAACTTCACATCCTCTTGTGCCTCTGTCTTTATTTTTGGTTGCTTTTCTGCCCCCAAAGTCAAGAGCCATCCAAGAGATGCTTGGTGAGCCTGGGCACCATTTAGAGTCATGGCACTTTCGGGATGTGGGTTTTCTGATTTCCTTTGTCCTTCTAGAATTGCTGATGAAGATGTTTTCTTGTAGAATGTACATCTATAAATGTAGGTGTGACTGTTTTTAGAGATGATCAGGCCAGCCTATCAGAGATGCTTCTTGTTGAGTCAGTTTGTCATTTCTATTTCCCTATCAGGCCACACAGGGGAGCCCCAGGGGTAGTTTTGTAAGACAGTAAGACAAGCTAGGCATTGGCCGGCCTAACTGGGTGGTGTGACTTTTGGCAGTTGGTCTAAGGCCCAGGAGTTCCTCTGTTTGTGTGATGGTTAGGACAGGAAGGCCCTGGCCTGCTCTGTGGGAACTGTGTAGGGTGTGGGGTACTCTGGCATACAGCTCAGAGTTAGTGGATGTCACAGGAAAGGCCGCTCTAAGGCTTTTGGCAGTGGCTAAGGATTGACCAGTTTCAAGTCAGTGACAGGCAGAAGCAACAGAACGCAGGGAGAAGAGAAGATAGCTGATGCTGCCTGGGCACGGACCCAAGCCCTGCTCCTCATTCTGAGTCAGAGCTTCTAGGTGGCATGCAATTGACCCTGGTTGACCAATCAGGGTCCGTTCATCCTTTGAAATTGTCCAAAGTTTCTAGAACACTTTAAAAACATTGACCTGTTTTTGCTCCTCCTCTCTGTCTCTCTCTGGGCCTTAGTTTCCGTGTCTGTGAGTTACTAGTGGTCTTGGAAATCATGGGAGAAGTTCTGAGAAGGGGCTGTTTCAGTTAGGAACTGAAAGGCTCCAGATTGCAGTCTGACAACCATGGGGATGGGAGAGTCCTGTCCCTCTGCCCTCTCGTCATTGGCTTCAGTCCACTTGTTCTTGCTCTGTTCTCTACCAGGTTTCACCCCAATTTGTCCTTTGTGTTTACCTCCACATTTTCTTTCTCAGTCATGCTTGTAGATGGAGTCTAATTGCTAGCTACCAAGCCCCGAGGAATATTGTAAGGAGAAATATCTTCCCAGGTGCACTGTTGTAATCAGGGACACATTACTGACCTAGGACTTGGCATCCCATTTTCAGCCTGCACCCCTTATTACATAAGCCTGAAGTTTTAAACCATGCCACTCGCCCACTAATTGGCTATAAATGGGTCATTTGCATTGCTTCTCTGACAAGTGGGGCCTCAGAAGAAACACTACAATGCAGGCCAAACTGGGAACAGGGATAGCGTTGGCAGATGCTTGGGCACTTTGGGATCCAAGTAGGTTTGAAAGGAAATGCCCTTGGTGTGGTGCTTTCTGTTTCTACACAAGGAACTTTCTCTGAAGTTACTGTTACAATGAGCTTTTTATTTTCACTTTAATTCTTTTGAAATAGAGTAATTTCAGTGATCTAGACTCCTTTAGAAAAATTTTATTGAACCCACAACTAACAATGTTTTCTTTCAGTGCTTTTGTAAACACAGATTCCTATTGTAATTTGTACCTGACCTGATGCTTTCCATTGTAAGATTTCATGGTGTGCAGTGAATGTACTGTTTAGTTTGTAAGTTGGTGGACATTTGACTTGTTGCAGCTTTTTTTAAGCTATTATGAGTACAGCTGCTATGAAATTTGTGTGCAAGTTTTGTGTGGACGTGTCTTTTTTTTTTTCCCCCCCTTCTCTGTTGTATACCTTGGAGTTTGTTTTCCAGGTCATATGATAATTATATTAAACCCTTTGAGGACTTGCCAAACTGTTTCTAATAGAGCCGTACCATTTTCTACTCTCACCAGCAGCAGATGAGGGCTGGGTTGTAACACATTCTTGCCAGCACTGTCTGCCCTCTAGCTTAGCTATCCTGGTGAGAAAGCAGCTTGTCTCATTTGACCTGTAGCTGCCACCCCTGACGGCTGGAAACGGAACATCTTTTCTCATGTCTGCTGTGTATCTACTTTTAAGAGACTTCCAAACCTTTGCCCCTTGGGTTGTCTGTCCTCTCATTATGAAGTTTTATGAGTTTGTTATGCATTCTAAATAAAAGTTCCTCTGTCAGATAAATTACTTATAAAAACTTTCCTCCTATTCATTGAGTTTTTTTTTTTTTTTTTTTTTTTTTTTTTTTAAGGGCCTGGAGAGATGTTTCTGATTAAGAGCCCATGATCTCTCCGAGGGTCTGAATTCAGTTCCCAGCACCCATATTGAGGGGCTCACAACCACTTGTAATTCTAGCTTCAGGGATTTGACACCTAGTACCTGCATGTATGTGTGCACATACCCCCATAAAGACACATGAATAAGTAATCTTAATACTTATGTGTTTATATGCATGTGTCTATGTACAAGTGCCTCTAGAGGCCAGCAGAGGGCATCAGGTCCCCTGGGAAATGAACTTTGTTCTTTAGAAGGGCAGCGAGTACTCCTAACTGCTGAGCCATCTCTCCTGCCTCTTTGTACTTTTTAATGATGCCCTTGGAATTCAGGTGTCTAAAACCGTGGTGATGTCCAGCACATTTTCTCTTTGCCTTTCTTGCATCTCCTCAAGATCTTGGCCATTGCCCTGTAGCACATGCAACACAAGAGCTGTATTTTGGCTCAGACGTGGAGCTGTGCTGTTTCAGGCCCTTGTCCTCATTTCATACCTTCATTACTGCTAAAGGTGGCCCCTGTTCAGTCTCCCCTTTTGCACTCCTGTATGGTTTCTAGAAGAGCCATCCTTGCATGTCCTCTTGGTCACCCTAAGTGGCTCCATACCCAAACCTGGGTGAATTTCTCAAGCACAGTATTCAGAGGGCCTATTGCCTGGCCCTGCCTTCATAAACAGGGTTTCCTGACTTACAAGATTCCAGCTGGGTGAAACTTGGTACCCTTCAGGCATGCCACCTGCTATGTACAGGGCCATTGTCATGACAGAAACCTGACAAGACTGGGTCCTTGGAGGCATTGCCTGCCTGCCCACACTGTCCTCAGTGCAGTGTCACTTGGAGTCTTTGGGACCCAGTCACACCAGGGGACATCCTTGAGTGTGCAGTGGCTGTTTTTTACCTTGCTCCCTCTTGCTTCTGGAGGGTGGAATTTCAACAGAATATGATCTTTGGTTCAATATCAGAACAATAGACGTCTCTGTGACTGGCTAGCAATAAGACTGTCACTGGGGTCTCATGTTTAGCCCTGGCTGGCCTGGAACATGCTTTGTGGGCCAGGGTAACCTTACAAGAGGTGTCCCTGCATCTGCTTCCCAAGTGCTGGGATTAGTGTGCAGCCACACCCAGCATAAGATTTATTTTTATTTTTTATTTATCTTTTTAGATTTATTATCTATACAGCATTCTGTTTGTATGTTTGCCTGCAGGCCAGAAGAGGACACAAGATCTCATTATACATGGTTGTGAGCTACCATGTGGTTTCTGGGAATTGAACTCAGGACCTCTGAAGGAGCAGCTGGAACCCTTAACCTCTGAGCTGTCTCTCAGCTCCTCAAGATTTTTTTTAAAGATTTATTTGTATTGTTTATGTATGTGTGTGCCTGCAGGGGCCAGAAGAAGATGTTAGGTCTTGAGGCTGGAGTTGCAGGTATGCAGCAGCTGCCTAACATGGGTGCTGGATCTGAACTCCATCTTAGTCACAGAGTGATCTCCAACCCTCAAGCTTTCTTAACACCTTAGGAACATATCAAGCGCTCCCAGCATTCTCTTAGCCCTTAGCCTACATCATCTCCATGACCTGGAGCTCCCCTACCTGCCACTGTGACTTGCCCATATTAGTTTCCTTGATGAATGTAGGAGCCACATGTTCACCTGTCCTATCCTAGATCCAGGGATGTCACTGGACCCACTGGACGGCTATTGGGTGGGTTATACTGTTGGGTGGCCCGAGGAGACCAGCAATTCATCCCAGACAAGGTACAGTCTAAAGGGACACCTGCTGGACAGTGACTTCATGGGGTTACTTCCAGATACATGAGTAGCTTCAAGACAGCTGTACCACCTTAAATCCTGCCCAAGTGTGGCGTGTGGCTAAAAGGCTCAAAATCTTCATTGCTGGAACTTTAGAACAGCTTGTTGGCAGCTCCAGCAAAGAATGCCCTCCCCAGCCGTCGTTTACTGCTTATGCCACCTTGCAGAGAGGGACTATGATTCTTGGTTCTTGAACTTAACTGGGTCTTGAAATAATCTTTTAGTTTAAAAAAAAAAAAAAAACTTTTAAAAGTTACATGTACTTACTTTGGGTGGGTGCCACAGAAACTATATGGAGGCCAGAGGACAACTTGGGCTTCTAATCACCATGTGGATCCTGGGGACAAAACTCAGGTTTGGCAGCAAGTGCCTTTACCCACTGAGCTGTCTCACCGCCCCCTCCTGTGAGGGGGCATTTCATCTTGTGGGAAATGGCCATTCAACAACCACATAAGGTTGTTCTGTCCAAGATGGACCACATCTGAAGGTTATAACTGGACTAAAAATGTGTGTCTGTCCAGATGTCTGTACTGGGTGCCATTCCTCGGGAACATACTTCTTTGAGGCCTTTCTCACTGGCCTGGAACTCACCAAGTTGGTGGCTAGTGAGTCCCTTAGGTCTACCCATTTCTCCCTACCCAGCTCTGAGCTTCCAAATACTTTTTAGGTGAGTTCTGGAGATCAAGCTTGCATTCCTGTGCTTACACAGACAGCAGGCTCCTTACTGGTGGAGCACCTCCCCAGCCCAGCACTGAGAAGTTCTCACACTGTCTAGTGTTTTCCCTCTGCCTTTTCAATGCTTAGCCACATGACTGCCATGTCAGCAGTTGCCTGCAGGATTAGCACAGTGACAGGTGTGTAGAGAGGCCCAGCAGTCTGTTGTCACATCTAGGGGTGTAGTAGATGGCATCTGCTTTTGTGTATGGTGTACAAAAACATCTCTTGAGGATCCATCTCAGGTTATTACCCCATTACTAAGCAATGTGTGGCTTGTCTAGATGTGGTCATGCCCCATAAGACAGGCCATCAAGTCTGTGGTGGTATACACCTTTAACCCAGCACTCAAGAGGCAGAGGCAGGCAGGTCTGTGAGTTCAAAGCCAGGCAGAACTACACAGTGAGTCCCTGTCTTAGAACAAAAGAGAGAAAGAGAAAGAAAATACTGTCTTCATTTGGGGAATGAGAACAGCATACTAAATGTGAAGTTCAGGAGCCTGGGTCCAGGTGCCATCCTTGTGATAGACAGGCTCTGGTCTTTGCAGCATTTCTCATGAGGGCCAGAGGATAAGAATATCTGCCCTCAGCTGTTAGGGGACTCACTGGGGCGGTTTAGAGTAAAAATGCCAGGTTTCTTATGTCAGTTAATTCTTCACAAAGTGGTAGATGCTGTATTTTGAAATTGTGATTTCTCAATAACAAATCCCAGAGACAAGGAAGAAGTTGAGAAATGTACATTGTTGGAAGAAGCACATTCAAAACAAAACAAAAAAAAACAAACAACAAAAACACTTCCCCGTTTAAATTTAACAAGGATACATTCAGGGCCTGGAGGCGTAGACCTGTAATCCCAGTTCCTTCAGAAGCCGAGGCAGGAGGAGCGGAATTCCAGGGCCAGTTCAGGCCTCTTAGTGAGACTGTTGTAAGAGAGCGTAGCATTGTGGATGTAGTGTAGTGGGAGAATCATTGCCTAGTGAATATGGAGCCCCACCTGTAATCCCTACTGCCACAAGAGAGTTCACTTTTCAGGAACTGGGGAGGCTGTTAGGTTGTAATAAAATAGGGTCCAAAGTTAAAGAGGCATGCAACATATGAAACCACAAGCACTGAGCAGTGGTGGCACAGGCCTTTCATCCCAGCACTTGAGAGACAGGTAGGAGAATCTGGGTTCGAAGCCAGCCTGGTCCACAGAGTGAGTTCCAGGACAGCAGGGGCTATATGGAGAAACCTGGTCTCAAAACCAAAAGAACACCACCCCTAAAAAACAAACAAAACCCCACAAGTTTCTCAAGTTTTGTGTATTTGATTAGATTATGTTCATGTGGCTGTAACTCCAAAGATACAGTCTCTCATTGCCATTATCCTAGGCAATCCATAGCATCTGTTTTCTCTGTAGTCTACCCAGAAATTTTGCATGTGGCACATACTCTATTAATGAGTGTGTTCTGCAAACACACAACACACACCATAATTTAAGAGCACATTGTCCTGCCCTGTCTAAGCAACCAAACTAGGAGCAGGAAACATAAAATGAATACTATGTAGGTGGAAATATTCCTTCTCTGTAGGAAAGGCTGCTCCTGTCTGGTGTCATACAAAGTTCAATTGGTAGATTTCATGCTTTTTTGCTTAAGTAACATATCTTAGATTTTAAAACAAAAGAAAAGACTAAATCCCTTTAAACCGGAGACTTTAAGAAATGTGTTTCAATCCCAGTCCCCACAAAGGAGTCTAGTAGTCCAGAGGCGAGGTTATGAAATTGGGATGAACAACCTGGGTTCAGGTTCTACCTCCACAGCTGTCACACCTTGGGAGAATAACTTCTTGCCTTAGTTTCAAGTGAAAAAGAAGTAGCATTCCTCTACCCTTAGTGCTTATGGGGGTTATGAGGTGGTGTGTATGTGTGTGTGTGTGTGCGCGCGCGTGTGTGTGTGTGTGTGTGTGTGTGTGTGTGTGCATAGTGTGTGTGTGTGTGTGTGCCCACAAATGCACGCATGCTGCTACATACAGCCTCCTGGGATGTCCGTCTTGATTTTGGAGACAAAGTCTCTTTGGGATTGAGGATTACTGATTAGGCTGGCTGGTCAGTAAATCCCAGGAATCTGCCTATCTCTCCCTTCCGGGCACTGGGATTAGGAGCTTGTCACCAAGCCTTGATTTTTAATGTGTGCTGGAGATTGAATTCAGGTCCTCATGCTTGTGTGGCAAGTGTTTGATCAACTGAGCAATCTTCCCAGACCCAGGATATGAGATTTAAGGTGAGTATGTGTGTACAGTACTAAAGAGTTTGGTACACATTTAGCATCAAACTTACTATTATTTCACTTGGCTGCAGCCATGATATCAGATAAGCTTAGGCATTTGTAATAATTTTTTTGCCCAGGTAATTTCCAGTGCCAGTGCCTTGTGATCCATAG